CATATACGATGAAGTCATGACAAAACATATACGAAGAAGTCATGACAAAACATTTACACTCATTACGATGAAGAAGTCTTGACAAAACATTTACGTTCATGTTTGACAAAGCATATACGTTCATTACGATGAAGTTTCGACAAATCATTTACGCTCATGTTTGACAAAACATATACGATGAAGAAGTCTTGACAAAACATTTACGTTCATGTTTGACAAAGCATATACGTTTCATTACGATGAAGAAGTCATGACAAAACATATACGATGAAATCATGACAAAACATTTACACTCATTACGATGAAGAAGTCTTGAAAAACATTTACGTTCATGTTTGACAAAGCATATACGTTCATTACGATGAAGAAGTCATGACAAAACATATACGATGAAATCATAACAAAACATATACGATGAAGTTTCGACAAATCATTTACGTTCATGTTTGACAAAACATATACGATGAAATCATGACAAAACATTTACGCTCATTACGATGAAGAAGTCTTGACAAAGCATATACGATGAAGTTTTGACAAATCATTTACGTTCATGTTTGACAAATCATTTACGATGAAATCATGACAAAGCATATACGCTCATTACGATGAAGAAATCATGAAAATTCAATGAGGTGAGAAAAGAGGTGAGAAAAGAGGTGAGATCTCACCTCTTCACCTAAACATTATTTTTGGGTCATTTACGCTCATTACGATGAAGTCATGACAAAACATTTACGAAGAAATCATTACAAAACATATACGATGAAGTTTCGACAAAACATGTACGATGAAGTTTTGACAAAGCATATACGAAGAAGAAGTCATGACAAAACATATACGATGAAGTCATGACAAAACATATACGTTCATGTTTGACAAAGCATATACGATGAAGTTTTGACAAATCATTTACGCTCATTACGATGAAGAAGTCTTGACAAAGCATATACGATGAAGTTTTGACAAATCATTTACGCTCATTACGATGAAGAAGTCTTGACAAAGCATATACGATGAAGTCATGACAAAACATATACGTTCATGTTTGACAAAGCATATACGATGAAATCATGACAAAACATATACGATGAAGAAGTCTTGACAAAACATATACGATGAAGTCATGACAAAACATATACGATGAAGTCATGACAAAACATATACGATGAAATCATGACAAAACATTTACGATGAAATCATGACAAAACATATACGAAGAAGTCATGACAAAACATATACGCTCATTACGATGAAGAAATCATGAAAATTCAATGAGGTGAGAAAAGAGGTGAGAAAAGAGGTGAGATCTCACCTCTTCACCTAAACATTATTTTTGGGTCATTTACGCTCATTACGATGAAATCATGACAAAGCATATACGATGAAGTTTCGACAAAGCATATACGATTAAATCATGACAAAACATATACGTTCATGTTTGACAAAGCATATACGATTAAATCATGACAAAGCATATACGCTCATTACGATGAAGAAGTCATGAAAATTCATGTACGATGAAATCATGACAAAACATTTACACTCATTACGATGAAGAAGTCTTGACAAAACATTTACGCTCATTACGATGAAGAAGTTTCGACAAAGCATATACGATGAAGAGGTTTCGACAAAACATATACGCTCATTACGATGAAGAAGTTTCGACAAAGCATATACACTCATTACGATGAAGAAGTTTCGACAAAACATATACGTTCATGTTTGACAAAGCATATACGATTAAATCATGACAAAACATTTACGATTAAATCATGACAAAACATGTACGATGAAATCTTGACAAAACATATACGATGAGGTCATGACAAAACATTTACGTTTAAGTTCCATGAGGTCATAACAAAACATTTATGTTTAAGTTCCATGAGGTCATAACAAAACATTTACGATGAGGTCATGACAAAACATTTACGATGAGGTCATGACAAAACATTTACGATGAGGTCATGACAAAACATTTACGATGAGGTCATGACAAAACATTTACGTTTAAGTTCCATGAGGTCATAACAAAACATTTATGTTTAAGTTCCATGGGTCATAACAAAACATTTACGATGAGGTCATGTTAGAAAACATGTTAGAAAAGGTGTTAGATCTAACATTCTAACATAAACATTATTTTTGGATCATTTACACTCATTACGATGAAGAAATCATGACAAATCATTTACGATGAAATCATGACAAAACATTTACGAAGAAATCATGACAAAACATTTACGAAGAAATCATGACAAAACATTTACGATGAAATCTATGACAAAACATTTACGATGAAATCATGACAAAACATTTATGTTATACAGTAATGTTAGTCATGAATGTTTGTCCTACGTGTTGGCGTTAGTGTTGAAAAATAATGTTTGTCCTACATGAAGCCGTACAAGCGTTTGAATTTGTTTATGCATAAAATTACTCTCTTGTTTTCTGTATCTATCATACAAACATAAGCATCACCTGTTTTTGTAAAGTTTATATGAAGTTTTCGATAGTTAAGACCTGTATAATAATAGAATGCGTCCTCATTCTCAACATAGTAGTAGAACTCAAACGAATGCTTACCATAATCTGTTATTTCAACAGCTTCGTCAGATATTTCATCAACGAACTCATAAACTATATCGCCATACTTGCTTTTATTTCTATTGTTTTCAGATTTAGAACACCAACGAAGGTTTGAGATTCTGTTGTCAGTTCTATCATGATTTATATGGTCTATTTCTTTCAAATTGTTTGGATTTTCAATCCACTGTTCTGCAATAATTCTATGCTTTAAATGTGTTTTGTTGTTTAAACTAAGCTCAATATAACCATGATTATTTAAGCATTCACTCTTAATATGTTTGTTTTTCTTTCGACGAATAGTAAAAGGATATGTCGTACAAATCTCATAATCTTCATGATTTCTCAATGTTTCCCATTGAGTTTGTTCCCCACTAACGTTCTCATTGACGTCCTCAATATCTTCTTCCTCACTGAACTCGTCAATATTTTCACTAGCTCCTTCTGTAATGTTTTCATCGGCATTGTCATTGACTTCTTCTGTAATGTTAGATGTTGTTGTTTCGCTCATGTTCTTTCACTAATGTTAAAAAGTTATGTTGTACGAATTTTGAACAGAATTTAGAGCAGTTATGAAACAATGAAGTATTTTTACGCTATTGAAAGGAACTATGAGAGTGAAGTACATGACAGCAATGACAAAAGGAACTAATATCAAACCTAATGAAATCGCTCACGAGGACATAGAGCTTAACAAGTACTTTGTGGAGTATCTTATAAGTGAAGAGTATGTAAGACCTTACTTCATGTTTGACAGCATGAATGAGGATGTTATTTCATGGTTAAAGAATATAAGCAATGTTTTCGGTAAGTACGTCATAGATGACAAAGGTCTTGTTGTATTTTATGAGACAGCAATACGAACACAGGAACTAATGGATATTATGCATTCAACAGCAAAGAAAGGATTTAGTACTATTGGCATGAATGAACATTGCAGGAATGACATATACAACCTATGCTCACGAAAAGCCTTACACAAAAGCAATACAAATGATAGAACATAAGCGTCTAAGGTCAGCAAATGAAATCATTACTGTCAGTGGTTATGAAAGAACTGTTAGCAAAGATGAGTGGAAACAGCTATTCATATTAAGGAAGGACGTTGCTGAACTAGTTAAACCTGTTGCACAAACATTGTTTCAGATAAGACCAGCAATGACTAAGAACCCTTTGACCTTAGTCAATGAGACCATAGAGGTTGAAGATAATGACATGAAAGAACTAGGAATGAATGAGAGAAGTTGTGAAGGATGTTTGAGTCAAAACACATGGTTCTTTAGAGCTGTTAAGAAACTTAGTAAAGAACGACAGAAATATTTTATAGAGAAGTATTGCAAAGGATGTGTAAATGAATTGCTTGAAATAGAACTTAGAGACACTTTCACACTAAAGGACTTGAGGAAAAATAAGTACATGAGTGAAGAAGGTATTGACATAGTTAGTGTTATAAATGACTTAAGAAGATGTTGTTGTTATTGACGGAGCACGTATGACATATCTAGTGAAAGATTATGATGGAATACGAGACACAACAACACTTGTGTCAGTAGATAGCAAGGAATTCAATAAGCTCATGAAGAGTGTTTATGTAGGACGTATTGAGGAGAAGGATGTGAACGCACTGATGATTTATGAAGCGGGTCAGAACAAGAACTATCTTATGAAGTCAGGCATGAGATTCTTTGACGAAAGAGATGACATTTACAGCTATTTCAGAGGATATGAGTATGAGGTACTGAATGAAGTAGATGAAAGCGTTATTGAAGGATTATTTGAAACATGTTCACGATGTCATATGTAATGAGGATGAAGAGCTTTATGAGTATGTTTTGAACTGGTTCGCCTACATCGTTCAAAATCCTTGTGGAAAGACTGGAACAGTACTTTTGTTAATAGGAAAGCAAGGAACTGGTAAGAATGTACTTAGTAATGTTCTATGCGAGCTCATTAGCAAGTACGCCAACAATAATATAACGGCAATAGAGAATGTGGTTGGTAGATTCAATGCTGCTATTGAGAACATGAAGCTCATCGTATGCAATGAACTAAGCTCATGCGATACGTCTAAGGTCATGAACCACGACGCACTAAAGTCAATAGTAACAGAGACTCAGTTGGACTTAAATCAGAAGTGTCAGCCAGTAAGAAAGATAGAGAATGTTTGTAATATCATCATGATATCTAACAACTTCAACTCAGTAAAGATTGATAAAGACGACAGAAGATTTGTTGTCATTGACGTAAGCAGCAGATACAAAGGAAATTACGAATATTTCTCAAATCTCATTGAAAGCTTTAATGAAGAGTTTTATTCAAACTTACTGACGTACTTCATGAAGAAAGATTTAAGTGAATTTGATGTAAGGAAGATACCATTCACCAGGGCTAAACAAGAACTCATCGAAATGAACAAAACACCTTACCAAATGTTTTACGAGGAGTTCTATGAAAAGTTTGTATCCGGATGGAATTGTACAGAGTGCTACAGAAGATATAAAGAATTTGCGAAGGAGAATGAATTCTTTGCATGTAGTTCAAATGTATTTGGTGGCAAGATGAGAGAATTTGTGAAGAGAAGTAGAAAGCGAGACGGTTCTGCAAGAAGTTATATTTACGAAGCAAGTATGATATTAGAAGGTCGTGGAAAGAAAGAAACAGTGAATTATGAGGAAGTGTTTGAAAAATTCATGGAGTACATGGGAAGCAATATAACATACAACAAAGACATATACAGTGAGTTTAAGTACTACTGTGAACAGCATGAGATTGAAGTAATGAGTAAAGGAGACTTTGAAACGCTTATGAAAGACAGTAAGGAGGTCGTTCATGAGAACAGTGTTGAAATAGTTCATGAGAACAGTAAGGAGGTCGTTCATGAGAACAGTGATGAAATAGTTCATGAGAACAGTGAGGAGGTCATACATGAGAACAGTGATGAAATAGTTCATGAGAACAGTGAGGAGGTCATACATGAATGCAATGATGAAATAGTTCATGAGAACAGTGAGGAGGTCATACATGAGAACAGTGATGAAATAGTTCATGATGTCGTTCGTGAAGAAGCCATTGCAACAAAGAATAATATAAAGGATTTCATAGAACTTAACAAGGAGGAGTTTAAAGAAGGCTATGAAGTGAAAAGATGTGAAGAAGATTTCTTGGCGTATTTGAAGAAAAAGAGACTAAAGCCAATGGCTCAAAATAAGTTTCAATCGATGTTTGAAAAGAAACGTTTGAGCTATGGTGGTGTAAGAAGCACATATTACTTTGTTAAGAAGTGAGGACATTTATTTTTGTCGTTAGTGTTGGAGTTTGTGTTTGTTGTTAGTGTTTGTCATTTGTGCTGAAGTTAGTACTTGATGTTAGTGTTGGAGTTTGTGTTTGTTGTTAGTGAGAGAATAAATTAAATCATGAACTTTGCCATGGTCTCTGTCCCTAGTAGTTTTCATTAAGTTCTGGAAATAATGAAAGTCATAAACTTTGCCATGGTCTCTGTCCCTAGTAGTTTTCATTATCTCACAGAGTTAATGAAAGTCATACTTTCTATCAGATGAAGCATGCAGATGAACATAATGAAAGTTAGTGAGTTTGCCACGAGTTATGAATAAAATATTGGCATATTAGATGAGATAGCTGATGAAACAGGTGAAGATAAATTAAATCTTGGACTTTGCCACACTCTGTCCCTAGTTCCTCAAAATCCTTGACAACGTTGCTTAGAAATTTTGGTTCAAAACCTCATCTGATTTTAATCTGTTATGCTACCTGTTAAGTTTCGTGAGATTATAAAGTAATGAATTCAAGTGGGTGAAAAAACAGGTGAAAAAAGAGGTAAGATCTCACCACTTCACCTAAATTTATTTTTGTGCTATGTTTTCATACGTGTGAGGGTGGTGATATCATTAATTTTAAGTTTATTTTTAAGTTTATTTTTATTTTATTTTTATGTAAATGACGAAAACTATTGAGATAACAAACTACAACGGTCATGAGTTCAAGAATTTGTTCTTCGTTCCTCGTGAAAATACATTCTATCAGATACGAGGGAGAAAGGGTAAAGTTAGTTTGAGCGTTTATGAAGGAATGAAGAATGGAAAGTTTATACAAGCATACGATACAAACGGTAAGCGTGTTTCATTAGCTTTGTCAAAACTTACTAACATTTATTTTGACAGTGACTTTGACTCTGACGATTGGAGCGACAGCAGCGATACTGAAGAATATGAACTATTGTGTGAAGCACAGCAATGGGAAGAGTTGCAATACTTCTGTAAGTGAGAACGTTTATTTTTTACAGTAGTGAGGTGAAGTGGTTGGCGGCTTTATAAATATTTAAGGTTAAGTTGGTGTTTGTGTTTGTGTTGTAAAATATACGTTAACGGTTTTGTAAAGTGTCAAAACAGCTAAGTTGTGTATGGAGGTGCGCAGTGCCACCGTACACGACTTATGTATACTAACTTTCAATACCAAAGAAGATTTTGGTTCAACTTTTCTATTAAGCCATGAAAATGAAAAAATTTCATCAAAATCTGGATTTGAAGGAGTAGTTCTACCAGTACCATCTTTAAAGAATGGAGCATCATCATCATTATAATGACCGTAGTATAAAGCATCAACATCATTGAAATCACCAAAACTGCGTGGTAAAAGAGTATATGCAACATTCTTTTTATTATCATAAAGACACAATGCATTTCCATTATCGAGAACAGCTAGCTCACAATCATCATCTCTGTCTTCTGTAGTGGCAAAAACTGCGTCGTTTAATACTGATAAATCTAGAGTTTTGGCTTCATTTCCAGTATTTGCCAGTATTAAGTGTGAGGAAACCTGGACCTGGTTCTTCTTTGGATGTCAAGGAAATTGTTATGTCGCCATCCTTGTGAACACCATTATCATTCCTTTGAATATCCATTTTATTTCCTGGGGTATCATTATTGTAAAACCGATATGCAATGGCCCATCCTGACTGGGATGTAGTATAATCTATTCCGTTCTTAGTGTATATTAAGTCAAAAGAATTAGCATAGCCATAGTCATTTTCATATTTAATAGAAAATGATTCTGCGGACAGCACACGGAATACCAAGAAGAAGAAACTTAGCATGAAAATGATACAGTTTGAAATTATTTCAATTATATAAAAATCAACGGTTTGAGTTGGGCAAAATCAAACTACTGATTACAATGATTAAAATTTGCTAATAAAAATAAAAATTATTAATAAACGATATTCACAAAAATTGAGAAGCTGTCAGATGATTTTGTCGAGTTGTATCGATTTCATCCTTCCAATACCTATAATTAAAATTTTTATATTTATAATGAAAATGAGAATAGAAGTTTTGAATTCTAAAATGGCCAAAAATGCCATTCAAAACATCGTAAATTTTTGAGAGCCTCTCAATATGATTAGGAATTTTTATTTCGGAAATAATACTGTATTTTTCATAAGTAAGTCTGAGCTCCGATTATTCATAAAATTTTTATAACACATATTGCGGACCATCTTTTTTTATTGGTTATCGCGCAGTTTACTTTAATTACTATGGCTCAATACTTATTTTAATTTCCTGTTATATTTTATGTTCACAAATACATTTTTTGACAAATTTGAGAGATCATATTTTACACCAGATGAACCAATAATCGCAACATAATCCATAAGACGAGTATGCTATTTTTAAGAGGTGTTTCATTTTTTCTAAATAAAAATTAAAAACTTTTTATATTTAGGAACTCGTTTGGCAATTATAGCCAGTTTCTCTTATTATGTAATCTTTATATTATGGCATTATCATTATTTTAATATTAATATCACAATTTTTATGTTAAATTTCTTTGTTGTTTTTCAATATGAACATTATTATTTGGAAAGTCATGTACCGATTGAAATTTTTAAGCAAACATGAACCATTTAAATGACAAACAATGCATGTTTATGAAGAGTGCGGGACAAATTTGCCAAGTGTCACTTTTCAATAACCTTAAATTACACTTTTATCATTTTTAAAAAATAGCCTTAAATTATATTTGAAGAAATTATGTCTATGATATATGTTTTATGCTAGAATCTTGGAGTTTTCATGCACTACACAAGAGCTCCAAGGTTCCAAGAGTGAATGCTCAATAGCAATTATAGAGATGTACCTTTTCAAAATGACTTTTACTGATTAAATTTAATCAATAGAAGACATTTTGAAAAGGTACCTCTACAATTAGATATACAAGAGATTCAAAGCTTCATTTCAGATAGATTTGAAACTTTGAAACTCTTGGTAGATTTTGAGTGAATGCTGACAATCATCTTTGAGAAGGTTTTCTTAAAGAAAACCTTCTCAAAGAGGTTTCTCAGGAGCCCTGAGGCTCCCTTTCGTAATGATTGGGAGCCTTGGGGCTCCTGAGACGAAGAATGGCTTCGCCGAATCTTTGATCAGCAGAGGCCAAATGAAAAGGCCTCTGCTGATGGATTCTCAGGAGCCCTGAGGCTCCCTTTCGTAATGATTGGGAGCCTTGGGGCTCCTGCAGCAGAGTATCGCTCCGCTCCATTAATTTTTTTAAAAAAAGTGCCGTGTGGCAAATTTGTCCTGTTCCCTGTTTATGAAAAGTATTCATTCAATGACACAAACATAAATATATTTCGTTTTTATGATTCGGGATATAATATACTATACTTAAAACATCAATATATCTTATTAAATTCTCGATCAGAACATTTTTGCATGATTTTCCATCATATTTCATAAATGGCAAAACTATAGATTTTTAAATATTCATTTAAGATAAACATAGAATAACTAAAGTACTCACAAAATCTAGATTGAGAGGCGGTCAATGACTTTTGAGGGGAAATTAACGCATGGAATTTAATATTATTTAGGTTGATATTCTTGCTTATTATTTCAGAAAAAAATCTTAAAAATTTCAATATGAAAATTGAAAGCAATTCAAAAAATTGCTAACATGTAAATTTTAATATCCTATGCATAATTTCATATTTTGAACATTTTTTATTTTTGTTTAAAACTTAAAATTTTGCGAATTTAATATAATTTATAAAATATAATACGTATATATATTTAAAATACACTAAATTTAATTGTTAATTGACGTTTTTGGGAATGAATTTTATCAAAACATGCCTGAATCCGAAAATTTGAAAGAACGAATTACACAATCATATATGTAGAATTTAAAATACAAACTTAAAGATTGTATACGTTTAAAATTATTCAGATTGTGTTTGATTTCCACTCATTCTGTTTCTTTTGAACTCTAACACTAACATTTCATGATGATTACATGATCCATTTATACATGGTTGAATTGTTCCAGATTCTACCAGAAAATCAATCCAAATTTCTCAATGCATTCATGTTGATTGGACAAAATTTAAAATTTATCAGCCTGTTTCCAGAGAAACTCATATATTCCCTAATGAAATGTAATTTTTGCTACATTTATTTCAATCAAATTTCAAAAAATTGACTGCAGAGCTTGAAAAGGTGATGAATCATGTTGTTATTAGATGTACATATTAGATTTACTATTTCCAAAAAAATGCTCAAATTTGAATAGTTTTTCGAAAATTTGGAATTACACTCCTTACATTATATATAATTAAATGTTTAAATTTTATTTATTTTTCCCTTTTAATTTTATAACGTGCTCTATCAAAACTAACCTCTCAATTGAAGGCCACAAAATCTAAGTAGTGAGGGTACACAAATTTTGTATGGAGTACGGTTCAATTTTTGAGAGCCTCACTACTTAGATTTTGTGACTACCTTATAATGAAAATTTTAGAAGATTTTTTGCTAAAAATTTGGTTTAGTCAAATAAAAAACGATGAGAATATGATTAATGAGAAAGATTATTGGTCAGCCTTTATTCCTTGGAAACCATCTTTATCTCTTTTCTTGCATACGCAGCAAATAATAACAATTACTGTTGCGATGATTGCCAAAATAACAATCGTAACAACGACTGAGACAATGATTGCGATAGTAACCGGATCAGTGGTATGCGTTGTTCCGCCAATTGGGATTCCATGATAATAAATAACGTAGTCAGAAGATGGATAAATCTGGCTGATATTAACACTATAAAATGGACCAATGTCACCTACAAGTCCTGAGTCTTTGGATGTTGCTAAATCAAAATTAGTATCTCCTGGATCTGTATGTTTAAAATCTGCATCGTTAACAAATGCAGAAATAACTGTATAAGATGAATCAGACGTTTCGGACCACTTAATGTTGAATGTATTTTTATGACCATTAATAATAACAAGAGGATGAGAGAGTGGCCTGCTTAAATCAAACTTATTAGATATGACGTTGTTATCACCATTTACATAAACCTGAGCTGGGCCATTAATTTCGATTTTTTGATTATTCACTGTAAGATTGACAACACATAGATAATTTGCATCAATTTTGACCTTCTTGGTATCAGAAGAATCTAGTTTAATATTCTGACCTTTGTAATTGCATGTAATGTGAACGTTGGAATCTGCATCAATATAAGTTTTAGCATCGCTAACATTATTCGAAAGGATATATTCAATTTCGGTGTAATAGAACGATGAATGATTATAACTGTATACTCCAAGTAATGATAACAGCATATTTCAAAATGAAAAACGATAAATAAAATTTCACACCAATCTTATTTTTTTTTCAATGGATAACGATAATTTTGGATTACCGATATTTGATAAATAACTTCAGATAAACCATTATAACAAAAAATACCGATGACAGAATTTTTTTTGAATAGTTTCACAAAACACAAACATATAAACTATCTATAAAGCATTCTGATTCATCAATTTTTTTTAAAAATAATTTACATCAATTTCTAACTACTTGAATGGAATATTATGAAAAACTATAGTAGAATATCAATATTTATGCTTGTTAACTTTATTTGATAACCATTAAAGCACTCATAAAAATCAATAATAAAAATCAGAATAATAATCTAAACAAAAACAGACTAATTTAAAGTAAAATTTCAAAATAAAAATGATAAATCATTTGTCTTACTTATTGTTGGCTTTTCAACCCAGGCTGAAGCTCTCCTCTTCTTTTGTCTTCTCTTTTCTGTAGGTTTCACATTTCCTTGCGGATCAATAAATGTGATCGGCGGTGCAATCCCATTATATTCGGCAGCAGTTGGAGGTATAATAATAGACATACCATCAGCTTGAAATAGTGGAAGTGTACCAACAAAATTTGGTATTTCTTCTTCTGAATTATTTCTGCTCGAATAATTAGAAATCGTTTCGTTACTAGGTATATTTTCAGGAATTTCGATTGTTTCTGTATCGAAATTAGATGGTGGTTCGAAGAGTTCCATTGATTTTCTCCAAACATCATGTGAATACTTTCTTTTTTGATGACCTCTTTTCTTTGGAAAGAAAATGTCATTTGCATCATCATCAGTTAGAACATTTCTGTGATCCAAAATATCCTTGAAATGATCAACAGCTTCATTATTCAAAGGAGTGAATTCCGGAATATTTGAAAAGTTTGGCATAGACATTCTATGCTGACGTTTCATTTTACTGTTCCTTGATCTCTCTCCATGGCTTTCATCATGTTTTTCATGTGTTTCATCACTTTGATAATTGTTCTCAAAGTTTGGCGGTGGAAGAGCATGCTGAGCTGGAAGAGGGAGAATATCTAGACCAATCTTGGCTACATTGCTTGGTTCTTCTAAAGGTGGTTCTTGAATTGATTGAACAAAGACAGAATTTTCGGTTTCATTAGCTGCCAAAGGACTGCAAGCATAAGAAAGTTGTCGTGAACCACTAAGCTGCAAAGGTTTGAGTGCAGTTTCTTCAACTTTGTTAACATCATGATTCTCTTCATTCTTTTCTGTTATTGATGGAACAATATCAGGATTTATTTTCACTTTCGGTTGTTCTTGTTTTGTTTCAGGCTGAGATGTTTTAATTTCAGTTTTTTCTTGAATTGGTGGAAGTTCTATAGCGCTATTTTCACTACCACTATATGAATTTTCTTCTTCGACAGGTGCTTGTTGATTGGCAAATGGTTTTTCTACATCTTGAATTTCATTAGATTCGTCACTTGAATCAAAATTATCAATTTCTGATTTAGAATTGCTATAAGTTTTACCTTTAAGCTTGAATTTCGAATAAAACTTTGATATTGTCATAGGTGTTTTATATTTAATATCTTGATCTTTATAATTCTCTTCAAAATCTTTATCTCTAAGCGTAGGATTGCACAGGTGAAGAACACTGATGAAAGATACTATAGGGAATGTAACTAATGAAGATATAGAAAACAATATTCGTAGAAAATTGAAATACCTGTAATTATGTCTTTCGTAGCAACACTGGCAAAGCTTTTCGTTGCATGAATAATAGCAATTACAGCATGAACAGTGATTTTCATAACAACATTGACACTTTCTGCATCCACACGAGTTATAATCTGAATAATAATATCTTGGATGACTTTGATAGAAGTCTGCAACTTCATAATATCCTTCAAAATCTGTGCAGCAACACATACATTTGCCAAAAAGACTGCCATATATCCTATTTAATCTACTCTTGACATTATAACAAATTAATATCAGGTAAATAATTCCAAAAAGATAGTAAGCAGCAACAATTGCAACCACAATCGGGATTGTAGTGTTTTGGAGTACCAATCGGTTATAACCTTGGTTAAATTTCCAATAACGATTTTGAACTTCAATTTTTTTTTGTAATTTGATCGATTTTATTGAGGAAGTGTTGAGAGAATTCAGTAAAAAGCCAATATGTGAATTGCAGAATATGAAGTGCTGATTGAGGTTATTTTGAACAATTTTTCTTCCATCTAAATATAATGCGATTGAATTTTGAATGTACTCAGTTACAGAATAATTTACATCTACAACACTGTTTAATCCCCCAGCTAAATTAAAATAAGCCAGCTGGATGTTTTGATCAGGTAGAAAATTTCGAATGGATTCAAAATCGAATACGTCTGATGAATCAAATATTGGGATTAAATTTTGCTTGCCAGTAGATCCTAGTGATACAATTTTAAATGTGGTAAATACTGATGAGTTACTTATGGATTTTATATTAAACATACCAGATAAGTTCTTGGCAATGCAGAAATTATTGGGTATTTTTAAATATTTTGTTTGAAATCCAAGCAATTCGTCAGTTAATTCTGAACTAGTAATTTGAGCATGTTTATTATCGGTGATGAGTAGTCCAACATAGTTATGAGTAAGATTTGACTGATTTACAGCGTAATGAATTTCGAAATTTTTGTTTGGCGGAATAAGAATATGAAATTCTTGAAGTGTAAACGGATATAAGTTGAGTTCAATACTATTTTGCCTTTGGAAAAAATATAGAACAAAAAAGAAAACAAAAAACATATTACTATAATTTTGAATTGATTAAATAGACCTCTGAAAATTTAATTAATGTGGAATATATCAACACATTCATATAAAGATAATATTAAAAATTTAAGAGGACAAAAATTTAACAAATTTATTTGAGATCGAATTATATGAAAAAAAAAAAAAAAAAAAAAAAAAAAAGGTAGTGGGGCTTCCAGGCACTTCGTGCCCTCTAGCCCCGAAGATGTTTAGTATAAATGAAGTTTTTATTCGGAAAATTGTTAGTCTTCTGGTGTGAATTCAGAGGACTCTTCTTCTTCCTCCTCCTCCTCTTCCTCTTCTTCGTCATCGTCGGCGTAGTGGAGGAGGACGTAGTTCATCCAAATTCTGTATGGACGTCCTGATTTGGATTTAAATGAGATGGACATATTTTGTGTGAGTGTTATTTCAGTTTCGATAAAGAGTTGGTGTGCTGGTTTGAATATATGTTCGACGTTGGAGAATTTGTGCAACTCATCTTCTCCCAATTCTGTATTGATACAGACTTCGATGAAGTCACCACTGAGAATGTCTTCACCTGTGGGCATATCCACAACAATTAAATGAACGACACAATAGTTGTGAAATTCATTAGTAGGAAATACTGTTGCAGGCGTATTATATGAGGGGAAAAATGTTTTTTCTTCCCCAAATTCATCTGCTACTTCATCTTCATCGTATCCGTTGTTAAAAGCTTTAAATTCATGTACAATTTGAGCAAATTGTTGACGGAGATTTGGTGGCATACGTAAGCAAGCTTGTAACAATGTCCTACCTTCCACACACTCAGCAAATATGGGAAGGTAGGAACATATAATGTCCGTCAATTGGTCCTGGTTGGGGACCAATTGACAGAGTTTTGTGTATGCCGTTATTGTTTCTTTAACGGTATTTGTGTAGATACGGTTATATGGAGTATTTCCCTGGTTGTTAAGGGAAAAATACTCATCCGATTGTAATTTCAATCTTGACCTCAACTCTTTGTTCGGTATTCTTTGGTCTATTCTTAGAGCTGTATTTGTTCGTGCGGGCTGTGGTTTTAAAACATTCGAGTCAAGTTTTAATTGCTTCGAATTGGATGTCGATTTGAATTGGGAGTCTTTTGAGTTCTCCTGAGCTTGGTTCTGTATTAAAGACTGAATAGCAGTGTCAGCTTCTTGTTTTTCGAGATATATTCTATTGAATTGGGCTTCACTGTTCGAGACGCGTACATTATGAAAAATGAACTGTTTTTTTCGGACCACTCATAGAAAAGTTTGAGATGAACCGTTTTCGTCAACGGTAACCCCCTCTATTTTTTTATTTTATTTAATAGTTACCGTTGGAAAACCGTTCCATCTCAAATATTGAATGAACTATAAACGTTTTTTGTTTTCTATATATGCTTTTTTGTCCAACGGTAAAACTTTTTGCACAACGGTTTTTGAGAGTCATCGCCGTTGACCGAGTAGTTTTTTGTGCTGAACAAAAAGTGTCATATAAACATCTGTCAAAAACCGCTTTTTAACTTCACTTAAAATGCCACGTAAGCTACGTAAGAATATACGTAAGAGGAAGAGAGCATTGAAACATCCAATAGTAAAACTGACACCACAACAACAGTTGCAACAACAAATGCTGAATGACCCCACTATGTTGCAACAAATGTCAAGCAATCCTATGCTTTTAAACCGAGTTTTGGTGCACAGAGTGGAGGTTTAAGAGCGGCACTTTTAGCGAAAATGGCAGGCTATGGTGGAGCTGCAGACGGAACAGCTTATAACCCTCAAAGTCAAATGAATTTGAGTTCACTCAAAAATCAAATAACAGATGTCAAAAAGTCAAACATAGACATACAGAAGCAAATAAGTGAAAACGAAAAGAAACTAGAATATGACAGACACACAAAGAAACTCAATGAGTTAAACGTAGAGAAAAAGAAGAAAGAAGAACAACTGAAAGAACTAAGTACAGAGGAATATGCGAAAAAAGTGTCAGAAAAAGCAGCAGAAGTAGCAAAAATGGAACAAGATGTCATAAATTTGAAAAACCATACTACTCAATATAAAATACTGAAAGATGAAGAGATAAAACAAAAAGCCCTGAAGACATATATGGATAGCGATGAGTATAAAAAAGAAGTTGAAGCAAATGTAAAGGCAGAAAAACTTTTACAGTTGCAAAACCAAACCGTACAGTATGAAAACTTAGCACAAGAAAGTAAAAATAACGACGCAGCCATGCAAAAGGCAATGAAAAGCGCAGAATATATAAAAGCTAACAATGACTGGTTAGATGCCCAAGCCAACGCTAAAGCAGCCCAACTCATAGGGTCAATAAGGACAAAAATACAAGCGGATGAAGACAGTTCAAATGAAGCTTTAACAAATGCTGACTTTAAGAACGCCTTCGAAGCTCTTCATAGTAAGGTGAAACTAGTGAACGACTTCTCATCTGGAAAGAAACTGAAGTCTGAAGGTTTCGACAAAGAGTTAAAAGAAGTAGCACAAAATATGACGAAAATAACAGATGCAGCAACGAGACAGGCAGTTCAAAGTGCCTATGACGCCGTTAGAGCAACTGTTGTGGAAAGTCAAGAAAAAGAGTTACAACAGACCAAAACAGACCTAGTAAATGCTTTCTTAAAAACGAAAAGTCAGGTAGGACATTATGCTGCAGATGGAACATATGTGCCAGTTGGAACTTATATACCACCAAACCCTCCAAGAGGAAGCACCTGCACCAGGACTACCTAAAACATTTACATCGTCACATGGACACAGACACAGGCATGCACCAAAACCAACACAACAACCAACACAACAACCAACAGTTCAAAACACTGCACAACAACCAACAGTTCAAAACACTGCAACCAACAGTTCAAAACACTGCACACAACCAACAGTTCAAAACACTGCACAACAACCACAAACAGAGCAAGGACATAAAAGAAGTAGAGAACAAGGAAACCAAGAATTCTTAAAAATGCTTAAAGAAAGTATGGTTTCCCAGATACTATTGACTTTAGTGACAGATATAAAGAAGCTATTAGAAAGTTCAAGGAAGGAAATACTGACCCGAACCTATTTAGCTTTATGGCTCAGCACCAAAACGGATATAATTCAAACCTGGAAAATACAAGCTCGCTAAGGGATATGATTTAATAGCATATCATCCAAATGACATGACTGAATTTACTCCGAGATATTTGATGTCAGAGCTAAATGACAATTCAACTTCTCATGAAACGCGTAAAAAATAGAGACGGAACGAAAGAACAAAGCTTATGAATGCGGATGACTTAAATAGGGAACTTGTTAAAAACGGTCTCGGAATATATGAAATGCCAGCAGATGAGGTACAAGAAACTCCACAGGAAGAAGTTCAGATACAACCAGACATGGAAGAAATAGTTCAGCAACAACAGCTAGAAGAGCCTGAAGGAAACGAACAAGTCGCTCCTTTGGAAACTAACCTCACAGAACTAGATGAAGATTTGGAACAGCCGAAAAATCTTGACCCTCAACAAGAGTATGCGGAGAATATGGAATATTTCCAAGAGTCTAAAAAAAATTCGGCTGACATAGTAGAAGAATATCGAAAAATGTTTGCCGACATACAAAAGACTCCAACACCAGATGAAAATATTCAGCATAGAATGGAAGTACTGAAAGAAAATGTACACAAATACAACAACCCTTTTTACTTACGAGCATTTAACGTTCAATCTTCGGATGAACTCGGTGAAAATAAAAGGTTAAATTTCAAGAAAACATATAGAAATGAAACATTGTTTAAAGTTCATTCAGAACCTAACCAAGATGGAAACAAACCTACTTTTGTTTCTGCAGACGATGGAACTACAATGAGATGGGGTCATAAAGCTAATCCAGATAGGTGGTTCATAAACTTACAACCTCAATTTCCAAGAAGTTGTAGACGCAATGGAAGTGAATGGTGAACCAGATGTAGCTGGTATTTTCAGCGCGGCTTTAATGCCATTGAAAGATATGAAAGATGCAGATATTTTGAACCAGTATGAAATGAACATGGCTGATGGAAATATAACACCTGACGTTCTAGAACATTTATCTCAAAGAACTACACAGAACCATAGAGATGGTATATTTGGTGAAGAGTTTAGAAAGAAAGTTAGGGAGAGCGAAGGAAGAGAACCTATTGTACATGACCTTGCAAACGAAAGTTTACAAAATGTCATAAAAACTTACTTTGCAGACGAATGAATCGAGAAGGGATGAATATTTAAGAAAACTCAAATGGACAGTACCAAATGAAATGTTAGTATTGAAAAACATGTTCCTTGACAAAATAAAACCAACTACAGAAATAAACGACGCAAGACTGAAAGATTGGGTAAAAGCTTTCCCATTCACAAAAGATATAGTTGGTAACATGGAAAGAAAACCAGAATGGCTACAAAAACATATATTTGGAAACGAGCATATTCCATATGGACAGGCACTGTTTGAAGAGCTTGAACCAGAAACTCAGGACAGAGTCATGCAAACAATAAGCGACGACTCAAATACAAACTATGACAAACTCTTTCTAGGATATAGGTTACCTGAGATGGGCGACCAGAGCCAAAAGGCAAAAAGGACATGGGAAATTTGCAACATACTAGATGAACATAATGCAAAGATGCAACAACTTCAAGCAGAGGGCAATGAAGGAAAAAGAAGAGTTAAAAACTCAGTCAGGAAGAAAGTAAAGCTTGGTCCACGTGGGTTCTATTATGACATATAAATCCAACTATTCTATATTTTTACTCATATGAAATGTACGCCGCTCAGAATATAACGCCAACAGTTTTGGATGCTATGAATGGAAATGTTTCCGAATGGTATAACGAATGCGACAATGCCATTAGAAGGTCAGAAATAGTTCCTGGAACTTACGAATATACAACTGCTGTTTCTTATGGAAACGTAGGTGAGTTTGGAGAAGGTTCTTCAACAACAGTAGATATTGCTTGCGACAGGTTTCATATAATTTCTATTGACAACTCTTTCTTATACGTGGAACAAGACATTGAAATAAAACCTTCTGCCAAGTTGTCTGACAAGAAAGGTTGCAATGGAATTTTCTATGTCGGATACCAATATGCTCCAGAAGTTTTCATGGGATATAAGATATATTCTAACTCTGACTTAGTTCAAACAGTAACATGGGCAAACTATGAATGGTTCGCTTTGAGAAACTCAGTACAACCACAAGCTAGAGAACAAACAGACCAGTATGCAACTATTGAGAAAATAAGAAGACTTGACCCTAACGTTCCAGGAGTTTATGTTAACCTTTCTGGTTCAGATGGAAATGCTGTCACTAAAGTAAAACTGAAACTTAGAGTTCCTTTGTCATCTTTCCTCATCTTCAGGTTTTTAAGATACTTGCCAAACTGGGCAGGAAAAATTTCTATTGAACTTACTCCAAGCAAAAATAACTTAGTCATTGCACCAACACAAGACCCATTCACTATTACAGAAGTAGTGGGAACAAATAAAATGTCATTCGCCGACTTTTGCAAAGACAAAGTTGACTTAGACTTTGGTTTCTCAAACCTCAACACTGAAGTAAACTATTATTTCAATGCTGCTGGAACTGCTTGGGACCCAGTTAAGTTTACATGCGAAAAGTTTGAATGCAAGAGAATAGAAAGCAGACTTGCAGTCTATATGTTGGACCCAGATATTTCAAATGCTTTAGCTGCCAAATATATTGCAGTTCCGCTTATGTTCCCTATACACCAAATATCTGTCAAAGACTTTGCAGGTGAAGTTGGAAACCAAAGTGCTGACCCAGGTGCAAGAACAGATATTGCTTTAACAACTGCAATGAAACATGCAGATACTATGTTTGTACTGTTCAGACGAACTATAAATGACTATTCTTGTTTCTACAACCCTGGTATTAAATATCATATAAACATAGATGGCAAATATTATCCAAGAGAAGAATATTCTACAGTTGAGGATATGAGGTCATACAACTTGACATTAGATGCTATGAACTTTAACAACAACTTCACAACAACCATTAACCCTGAAATGCAAAGTTCTATATGCCATATGTGAAAGTATGGACTCATACAGGAGGTCAAAAAACTCAATATACAAATGGAGACCGTTCAAACTTTTGGCTTGGCATTCCATTTGCTGACTCAGAAGACTTTATGGGTGGTATTTCAACTGTTGGTACAGTTCAAATACAATATACTGGTGACAGAGACGGTCCAGATGAATTGAAAGCAAAGAAGTTTACAAAACCAATAGCACTTTTCACGGAAGATGCTCTTTTGAAGATTCGTTCGATGAAACCTGCTGGGGCTCCTCAGATTGGCATAACGACAGCTTCCATCGAGCAGATTTTGCAGCAGGTCAGTAAGTTGTTCTTGAACTGACTTCTCTCCGTCAAATATTGACAGTACGCCAGTTTTGACATAAATTGTAAGATAAACTTTCCTTTAGAAATATCGGTCAGTTTTGTTGTTATATTTTTGTCTGCTTCAAGAACTTTCACCATCTCGGTTATACCAACTTTCTTTGCTTTATGAAAATATTTAGGTTCAGCAAAGACTGCTATTCTATAACATTTTCCATTGTTTGTGTAAAGAACTATTCTGTCAATGTATTTGTATTGTTTGTGTGTGTAAACTTTGTTCTGCTTCAATTCGAAGAGATACTCGAATACGTCCATCTTTTTATTCTAAGTAAAATGTCATTTCCGAAAAATAGAAGCGTGAGTGTTTCAAAAGGTTTAATGGCGGTGGCAGATGTGAAGTTAAATTCACCAACTCAAACAAACAGTCAAAGTGTTGTTGTCAATGTCAAAGACAGAGATGTTGAAGTGGGGAAACCATACGAAGACGAAGATGGTATAACAATAGTTCCTGTAAAAGAACAACCAACATATCCTGAAGTTAGCAGAGACTTAAGTTCTGTTGCAGATATTCGAAACGACTACAAGCAACTTAAAGACAAACTTAAAACTCAGGAGAAGATTTGTCAAGCTTTAGGTCTAATGTTAAACTTGGTCGAACACAACCCTGTAAAAGTGAACTCATATGTCATCGCACCTCATGAAATTTTGAAAGAACTATTGAAACTTTTGACAGAGGCAGACGATATAAACATCAAAGAAATAGAACCCGACATTGCTTGCTGTGGTGTTTCATATAATGTCATTGACAAGATATACGTTATGAAAGGAGGTGAAACGTTGAACTTAAAGTATAGTTTCCCAGACGTCATAAAAATATTTGACGACCACAACATTTCATTAAAATTTACTTGCTAAGTAAATGGCAGAAGACATAGTGGTTTATACTATTACGACTAAAAACCCTGAGTCATATAATTCTATAACAACAAACTTACAAAGTCCTCAAGGACGATATTGTAAACTAACCTTAAACACAATGACGACTAAAGCCTGTTTTGCTCTTTTGACACCAGAAGACTTTGTTGTTGTGAATGGTAAAAAATACTTCTTTGAAGATACTTACTCAGATATACCACCAACAGGTTTTGTTGACTTATTTAATACTTTAAGGACGGATGTAACATGTGCTGCAACTAGAGCAGGTTTCATTATGTTTGGATGTCCGACTGAGTTTAGTATAAACGATATGAGCTATAATACAAAACTTATATCTGGTTTTTACTACCAACAGTTTCCTATAACAGGAAAAGGTGTCATACAAGGAATGTCTGTTCCATTGACTTTAAGCACACCTATTTTATATATTGTTTCAAACTTAGGTTCAAAGTGCTATTCGAATGTGGACAGAAACTACTATGACCAAAAGATACTCATGCGTATAAACAACACTTTCTCTGCTGGTTTGCCTATTGTTCATTCGAATGCAGAGTTTTCAGCTTTAGTAAACTCAAACACTTTAGCAAACATAAACTTAACCTTAGTTGACGCAAACTTTGTTCCTGTAAAACTTTTATGTCCTATGTATTTGTCAATGACGGCAGAAAGTTTCGAATTGGAAGATGCAACTGGTGAAAGTATTGTACTACAAGAACAACTTCAACAACAAATAGCTCAAGAACAACAAATGCAACAAATGGAACAACAAAGTCAAGAATAAAAAATAATATTTTTTTTATTTTTATAAAAATGTACAGAATAGATGTTTCAGATTTTTATGACTTCCAAGCATTCAGAAATATGTGTCCATTTAGAGACTATAACAAAGCAGTCGAGAATTTGAAACGTTTAGTCATTTATGTTGACTCTGCCCCAGAATGTTATGTCATGAAAGAATGGGATGTTGTCTTTAACAAACCAAGAGCAACAATAGTTTCAGAACAAGAATGTAGACAGAAACTTAAGAAAATAAAAGTTGTACAAGTTGGCATGAAGATGTTAGATGCTTGGGATATCTTATTGTCAAAGTTAGAAGATTTTTCAGTTCGTGGTATAAAGTTCTATACACCATCTCCAAAATTCTATTCTATCTTCACTGGATATAAATATGAACAAGTAGAATGGAAAGAAAATGTTATAGAAGCTTGGTTAGACCATGTCAAAGAAATTATATGCAATGGAAACGAAAGAGTCTATGAGTATATCTTATGTTGGTTTGCAAACATCTTACAACATCCAAGTGCTAAAAATGAAACTGCTCTCATTATAATTGGAAAACAAGGAACTGGTAAGAACACTTTCTTTACAGATATTTTGTGCAAACTGTTAGAGGGCTATTCGAACCCTAATATGACAAACTTAGAAAACATCTGCGGTAAATTTAACTCTTCAATAGAGAATATGAAACTTATAGTATGTAACGAACTTCAAAGTATAGATACAACAAAAGTTTTGAACTCGGATGCTTTGAAGAGTCTTATAACAGACAAAGTTGGAGTTGTTGAAAGAAAATATAAAGACCAAAGAGTTTGTGAAAATGTTGCAAATTTCATTATGGTTTCAAACAACGCCGTTCCGATGAAGTTAGAAAGTTCTGACAGAAGATATGTAGTTGTCAGAACGTCAGATTCTCATATGCAAGATACAGAATATTTTGACGACTTAGCAGAAACTTTGACATCTGACTTTTACAACCACTTGTTCTCATATTTCATGACATTAGATATTTCAAAGTTCAATCCAAGACAAATTCCACATACCGAAGAAAGACAAACGTTGTTAGAAGCAAACAAGAGTGTATATGAACTGTTCATAGATGAAACTGACTTTGTGTCATTAGATGAAAGGTCATTGTACGATGAATATAAACAATATTGTCAAGAATATGGTTATATGGCAGCTTCTAAACGAACATTCTTGGCAAACGTCAAAAATCTTTTAGATGTTCAGAACGGCGTATATACAAAGAAAAATTTTTCTGAGTAAATTTTAAAAATATATTTTTTTATCCGATAGAAAAGATGGCAAAATATATTTCAGTCAACAAATATATGTCAGGACTTAAAGAAGAACTAGACCCATTGCTTATTTGAATGTTTACTTCTACCATTTTGAAAAGTCTACATTTGACAAAGTTTGGAACATCGAACCAGTTAAGTTTGCTATTGTGACTAAAAATGGTGCGAAATTTGAAGACTTAGACATAGAAGGTTTGTTAGCAGTCAAAGAAAATTTTGACAGAAGGTTCTCAAACCTTAAAGAAGGCAAAGCATACAAACTTGTTATACCTTATGAACCAAAGAAAGCAGACGACTATGAATATTATGAGTCTAAGATAGTGAAGTTCAAGGTAAATTGGGTAAAAGATTTTAGAGTCTAAACCAGTGTTGCTCCTAAAGAGGAAGAAACATTGACATTGACCCAGAAATGTTCTAAAAATAAAATTTATTTTTTACATGTCAAATTTCTTTTTCTGGTTCAGGTTCTTTCTTCTCTTCTTCTACTTTCTTTTCTTTCTTCTCTCTCTTCTTCTTCTTCTCTGGTAGTTATGTCAAACTTCTCAGAACCATATTTTTGTAAAAGGTCTTTGTCCTTTAATAGCTCTTCTAATTCTGTTTTCTATTCATCTTCAAGAACGGCGCATGTGTCTTCTTTGCATTCTAAGAACTTTTGTTGGACTTCATCTTTCCAATCGGCGTCATCTCTGTCAACAAGTCTGTCATTGACAAATTTTAAGACTGCTCTTTGTAATGTTTTATATGGTTCTTGTCATATTCCCAAAACAGAACTTTAGAAACAAATTCACCTTTCTTGTTTACACATGTAAGATTTTATGGTCGACAGATGTTTTGCTGTCGAAAAGCTTGTCTCGAATATAGATGGCGAAATCGCTAGACATTTTCAAAAAGATAAAAATTTTAATTTTTCTAAAAATATGTTAGAAAAAAAGTTTGCTGACATTGACAAGAAATTTGAGAATGTTTTAAACAAGAACAAGAGGAAGTTAGAAAATGCTCAGATAAAGCCTATACATGACAAGTTCCTATTTGCTCAGAATGGTATAACAGGTCTAATCGCACCACCTGGGTCGGGCAAGACTTTCACT